ACGCCTGGCTAAGTTTTTGTATTTTTAGTAGAGACGGGGTTTCACTGTGTTAGCCAGGATGGTCTCGATCTCCTGACCTTGTGATCCGCCTGCCTCGGCCTCCCAAAGTGCTCATATTTTCATAAATTTTGGTATTTAAATTTAAGACTTCCCTAATATTCAACTGCTAATAACTGTACCCTTTTCTTTTACTTAGACATTCAAATAAACATGACCACTGCCTCCATGGAAAAGGTTGAGGGGAAAACAAAAACTCAACTTTTAGATTTCACCTCCATATTTGAGAGAATTACAATCCTCATTAGAAAGCCAACACTTACCAAACCTCTCCTGCACCATCAGGGCCACCTGTTTTCCCACCTGAGTGCTCCCAGTGAAGGACAGCAGGTTCACTCGTTCATCTTTGGCCATTGCTGTGCTGCAAGGGAACAGACATGGTCGGTCACCCAAGCAGAGAAACCCAGCAATGACAACTTCTAATGGTACCCAGCACTGAAGTGCCCTTGGAAAAGCAGTCCCTCGAAGCTACAAGAAAGTCTGTCCCAGGGGAGCAAGGGAACGTCTTCAGGAGAAGGAAAAAAGTTTTCCACAAGTAGAACCATATGGCAGAAGAGGCTAACCTGCTGTGAATAGAAATCACCTAGAGGAAGTTGTTAGGGAAGAAAGTCTTTCCTATACTGAGTGAGTGACTGGACAATATGATCTTAGCATTTCCTTGCTGAGCATTCCAGTTTTACAGACTTTTAACTGCTGTGTGATTCCTTTAAGGATTAAAACTTAGGCAGGACTAGCCTAGGCAACACGATGAAACCCCGTCTCTACACAAAATACTAAAATTGGCCAGGTGTGCAGGCATGTGCCTGTAGTCCCAGCTGCTTGGGAGGCTGAGGTGGGAGGATCACTTGAACCTGCGAGGCGGAGGTTGCAGTGAGCTCAGATCGAGCCACTGCACTCCAGCCTAGGTGACAGAGTGAGACCCTGTCTCAAAAAAATAAAAATAAAAGAATTAAAACTTAAAAGCCTGTAGGGAAATATCCTAAAGCAGGGGTCCCCAGGCCCCAGGATGCCGACCACTACCAGTCTGTGGCCTATTAGGAACCAGCAGGAGGTAGGCAGCAGGCGACCCAGCAAGCATTACTGCCTGAGCGCCACCTCCTGTCAGATCAGCGGCAGCATTAGATTTTCATAGGAGTGTGAACCCTATTGTGAACTGTGCATGCAAGAGATCTAGATTGCATGCTCCTTATAAGAATCTAACTAATGCCTTATGATCTGAGATGGAACAATTTCATCCTAAAACCATCCCCCTGCCGTGGTCCACGGAAAAATTGTCTTCCACTAAACCAGCCCCAGTCCCTGGTGCCAGAAAGGTTGGGGACCACTATCCTAAAGTATTCCTCACGGAAGTTGACTTACAAAGGCTATGCTAGGATTTCCAGTTGCTTCTAAGGAATGCAAATCAGACATTACTGATTTGAACCTCTCTGTTCCTAGTTCAGTGCTACAAAAGGTCCAGTGTTAGCCAAGCGGGGCAGCCATAGCATCAGTCTAATGTAGGGCTGTACGGCTCGGCTCAGTTACCTAGGTCAGTCTTCCGAGGTTCAACCTAGCAAGCATGAGCACTAATACTCAAAGTGGCTGCTGCTTAACATGCTCCTGCATATACCACCATAATTATCTGAGCTATTGCAAGGCCAACACAAGCACTAGATACCCAGAATGCAAGAAGTCAAAGGCCGACTCATGTTTTAAATGACACTTAGATAATATTTCACTCTGCATTGTACATGTGGGAGTTGTATTTTGTAAAATTTTCTCATTAATATGAAAAACAGAGTAACTTATTGCTCCTTTTTGAGATTGCCCAGTAAGTACAACGGTATATTAAAAGTGTGGGAAGGCGAGGAAACTAACACTTTAGCCACACCAGTATGGGTTGTAAGACTTGACTCCTGGAAAACTCACCTAATCAAAGTCTAAGCTGATAAGAACCTCAGCTTTTATCCCAGTTCAGCACGATTATAGTCCACGTCATCTTAGTATCATGCCAAGTAAAAGCAGCAAGACACAAAAGGCCACATATTATATAACTACATTGATACAAAATGTCTCAAATAGGCAAATCCATAGAGACAGAAAATTCTTTAGTGGTTGTCAGGGCATGAGAGCAGGGGGAATGGGAAGAGACTGCCAATGGGTATGGGATTACTTTCTGGGCTCATCAAAATGTTCTGGAAAAAGATAGTGGTGATAGTTGTACAATAGCCTGAATATTTTTAAAACCACTATATTGTACACTTTAAAAGAGAGGATTTTATGGTATACAAATTGTGAATTATATGGCAATTTAAAAAGAAAAAAACAATTTTACTAAAAAGAGGCTGTGTTCCCAGGGTTTCCTTTTTCAGTCAGCTGAGAAACTCAGACAATAGGCTAGGTTCTCGGCAGGCAGTGAGACCCCAGACTACAATTTCATAGCTTTCTTTGTAAGTAAACACCTTGACAAACCAAGTGTCAGGAAGTCACAGGCTGCCCCCCATTACAGCAGTTTGTTATTTCAGGATATAAACACCTTAGAAACAGTACCTCTGGGCAATTAAAAAGACGATTCTTATTCATCCTCCAATAAAGGTTAGGCATTAATACAATAACCCAATAAACTCCATAATAATAATGATTTCAAAAACCATTCTCAACTCCTTAGTTAAAAGTGAGTTCATTATTCTAGTAACGATGATTCTAGTTGGTGAACCTGGGGTCCTTCAACAGAGGATGCTCTCAGCCTAATAACCTACCCAATATCTGCTCCACCACAAGTCAAGGAACAAATCGCACCAGGCAGCTTGTTGTCCTCCAGAACCTTGGCTATTATCCTAGAAAGGAAAAAGCAATTATTGAGGCAATAATTTAATTTCTGAAGTCATTTTTTTAAAAACAAGGAATAAATTGCAACCACTTGACTCTCCTTCTTTCAACTTTCTCTCCCATCCCTCAAATATACTACTCTCTTGCTTTTTCAGCCCACTTTTCAATTTCTAAGTCACTGTTCCTAAATGGCCTTCTAACATTAAGAACACTCTTATACCAGACTCTGCCCTCAAACATTCAGACCTGGATTTCTCCTCACATATTGAAAATGCCATTTTCAAAAAACTATTAGCAGAATTTTTTTTTTTTTTTTTTTGTCCTAAAAGAATCTTGAGGACAGGTGTGGTGGCTCATGCCTGTAATCCCAGCACTTTGGGAGGCCGAGGCTGGTGGATCACTTGAGGTCAGGAGTTCAAGACCAGCCTGGCCAACATGGTGAAACCCCATCTCTACTAAAAATATAAAAAT